TTGTAAAATTTATGGCCCCCACATGCATCCACGTTGCTAAATAGCTTTTCCTTTTTAATTCGTTTATTTTGTTTCGTAAAAGATGAAATAATTTATCTTTAGAACTTGTGTGGATAGGTCAAAAACTAAAATTGTCGGCACGTACCATATAGCATGTGACATGTGTATGCCTATATATTTGGATAAATATTAGAGAGAAAGAGAGGTAAAATTAGCTTAATCAATAATTTATCCGCCGAACAACTCTTGTAAGTTGTAATCGTAAAATAAAATAATTCTTACATTATTCCTCTGCTGCATATTTATATTATATACTATATGTACTATTTCGTTTTTAATATTAAATTGATTTTTATTATTAGCTTAAATTCATAATTAACTATGTAATCGATGTACAAGCCCTAGTTGGACGGACAATGGAGCAGATTTTTATTGCACATGAGCAGTGCAAATTGTCATGATCTTCGATGAGTACATATATATTTTCATATACAAAGAAGAAAGTTTAGTAGCCAAAGAAGAAAGTTTCACATACGGACATGCGTATGATTATTTGAAAGAATAGGAAGACAGAGAATAGATAGACCCACTCAATAATACGTACATATCTTGTAGTACAGAAGCAGTGAAAGAGACGTATATATGATGACTGAAAACATTTCTTTTGTTATAATAAGAGAAAACAAAAAGAAAATATAAGTTATAAACTCCGGTTAGGTTAACACTATTCTAAAGGTCTATAGATAATTGGAAATCGTCATGTAGGTTTAAATTGGAATTTTTTCAATGCGATTTGAGCTATAGTTTAAATAGAAAAAATTACCGGATTTATCTTCTAAAATCGACTTTGATGATTGGTTAAGGCTTCAGTCTAAAATTCTCTAGCTATTAAACAACACTATGGAATTAAATTGACTATAGATAACGCTATGATTAATCGGCTAGAATCTTAATTACTATTGTATTGAACCGAATCTCTACAAATTCATATAGTTTTACGATTTAGTGTGATTATTTGTAGTTCTTTAACTCTATTTATCCATATGTAACTTAGTGAGTGCGTAGTTGTAACTCATGTTTTGGTTTTCTAAAGATAAAAGTGAATGTGAAATAATTAAAAAAGGAAAAAAAGAGAAGTGAATAGGTCGAGTCGGTTCACTCACGGTGCATGGTCACTCTCTCTGCACGTTCTCTTGCCTTC